TTGATTCCAAAAGCTGCGGACATGATGACGTCTATAGTATATCTGTTGAGTACAAAATATCCATATAGAACATGTACATTGTTTATATAATATATTCAACAATTGGAAGATAATATGTATATAGTATTTATATAACATTTCTTCAGCGTTTTCTACGTAATTAGTGAAAAATGTATTAAAAACTTTTTTTTCTTCCTTCTTCTTTTAAGAATGAGTATACCTTGCGAATATTTCCTTTATTTCGATGCATGATTCCGTTTTGGCTTCTTCTTCTAAAGATGTCGCGAGTTCTTCGCCGCAATCTTTCAGAACTTCAAACATTTGCTTGAGTTTTCCTGAAGTAAATGTAGGTGTCAGCTTGACGCGTAAATTTCTCCATTTTCTTCCAGGCAATAAAAATAAGTTGCCGGATAACGGATCTACTTTTTCGTTGCAGTAGTATCCACGATCATGGAAACTAGCAAATTCTTTGGTCAGCACTATGCGGACAAGATCGAGATCGGCAATCACAAGGTTCGGCTTGAAAAATGTGTACGTTCCAATTGCGCGATGGTCCTTATATTTTAAATAAATATCGCGAAATATTTCACCTGTATTAAATTAAATATGTTTGAAATTGTACGTTCTTTTGAAATTTAACTGAAAAAAAACATTTAGAAGAAATAATAGTTTTTAAACCGAAAAGAATCTAGTTTTTTCTGAATATATTTGCAGTAAAGTAGTAAAGAAATAAGCAGTTATTAAAGAAAGAATCTACTTTAAATAAATAATGTGTTCCTGCAACTCTCATAAGATTGTTAACACGTCTTTTGCAGAATAGATTTTATAGATAAATTTGTAGTAGTTATATATCATTTCTTTCGTAGAATAGATTTTATAGATACTTTTGTAATATGTTATAATTATAAAACAAACAAAACTTGGTGCTACTTTTTGATATCACTACTTTTATCTAGCAGATTTTTAGAGAAAGAATGTTTTTCATATATATTTTGTATATATTTTGTATATATATTATTTTATACAACATATACTACAAAACATTTTTTCTCTAAAAACCTGCTTGACAAAAGTGATGATATCAAAAAGTAAACTTTCGTTTGTTTTATAATTATAACATACTACAAATGTATCTACAAAATCTATTTTACAAAAAAAGTGATGTATAATTACTACAAATTTATCTACAAAAAAAATATATTTTTTGTAAACCAAATTTTATATAGAGATAGTACTTTTTGTATTTTGTAAAAACAGTTTAGAAGAAAAAGGTTTTGTAATACAAAAGAATGTTTTGTAGTATATAATGTTGTAGTACAGATTTTATAGAAAAAGAATTGTTTCTAGGTTTATATCAATTTTAAAACGTATTAATTTAAATACAATACGTTTTGTGCGTGTACTTGGCGCCTGTTCTTATCTTGTTTTTGAAAAATTAAGTTGTTTGAGATATTACATATTTTATAGTATTATTTACTTTTGTTAAAACAAGTCTTATAAAAAAAGAAGTTTTTATAGTATGTAATCAATTTTGTATTTTATAAAGATAAAGTATATAGTTTATTAGGTTTTTATTTATTAATTTTTAAGTTTTTATTGTATAAAGTTAAAGTATATAATGTGTAGTTATTTTATGTCTAATTTCAAAACAGTTGATTAAAAAAAAAGTATATCGGAAATGTTGCGGGTGCGAAGAAAGTTTTTTATCCGTTTTTTGATTTAATTTTTTGTCATAAATGTGAAGTATATAGATTGTAGTTATTTTTTACCAATATTAACAACAGTTTATTAAATTTATATATACCCTAAAAATTATTAATTATTTAATTGTGAATATATGTATTTGTCAAGAGGCGTGATTAGTCCGTGATAAGAAAAAAAGGTGGAAGCGCACAGTCAAATGTTGATTTAACATTCTGGCACAAAGATATTTGCAGGAATTTTAGTTGTTGACACCTTTCTGCAACGGCACTCGCAACAGTGAGCGCATTGCGTTTAGAAATGATGCCAGTTTGTGGACGCTAGCAGCATGCAGCAGCAAGTAGAGAGGATATAAGATATAATATCCCGAGAAAAAATAAAACCATATGATTATGTAAGATTATATATAAATAATTAGATCGTGTCAAATTTTGGATTTGATTTTACATGATTACATGAAATCACATCTGACTTGTATAATATCTTATATGATCATATAAAACGATATCCGACCCATATATAATCCTGCGTGATTCTACATAGTTTTTCATTTTTTTTCGGGATAAACTACGCACAAGAAACAAACTAACGGCTAGGCTTTTCGCGGCTGGCAGTGGTAGTTGTAGCTATAGCTACACGAAAAAAAAAAAGCGGTAATACAGTGTGTCCCAGAATTGCCGTACAATCTTTCGTAGTCAGATAGAAAGAATAAAACCGAGTCAAAAAGTCCTGAACCATTTTTGTCTATTACTTATAATAAAAGAGTAATTATTGAGTAAATCAGGCCAATCAGCGCCGACCTTTTGCCAGGCGCACTTCAGTGAGCCGCGCCTGACGTGTGTGAGCACTTCGCGCGGCTTACTGACGAGCGCCTGGCTAAAGGTCGCCGCTGATTTATTCAATAAGTACTTTTTTATTATAAGTAATAGAAAAAAATGGTTCCGGATTTTTCGACTCAGTTTTATTTTTTCTATCTGCCTACGAGAGATTGTACGATAATTTTGGGACACCCTGCGTATGTCCGTCTTCTACTGCTCGAAGAAGCGCCGAGCGTACACGTACACGGCTGTTCGCCTGTGTACGTATTCCCTCTACTTGCTGCTGCATGCTAAAAAGGCCAACACTGATACGTCATGTTCGGAAACACCATCTACACACGAGCATTCTTTGATTTATATCTAACTAGCGGACCCGACAGACGTTGTCCTGTACACACGTTTTTAATTCAAAAATTTCAAACTTTTTTTAATAAGCTATAACAATCTGGACCGATTTGATGAAAATTATTATTAAAAAGTTATTACAATCTTTATCGTCATTACATGTACACTTATCACAATTCGACCATTCGATAGCGTGTGAGTATATGTATACTGTATTAGTGAAGTGAAATGTAGAAGCTGTGTTAAATAAAAAGATGTGTTTATTGCCACACTCCACAGATGGAATCTGTGGATCAAAAAATAGCAGCCACTGTATGTCTTTGATTACAAACACGGATATTTCTAAGACTCACGGAAAATTTTAAATCAATNAAACGACTGATTACAGGCCCGGATATTATCTGTGGAGTGTAGCAATAGCAGCATCATAAATAAAAACTTGAACTTGTTTTAATTAAAGGTGAAAAAGCTTACACTCAAACTATTTTATAACATATATTTTTTATAATTTACAAAAACTCAATTTATCGCAATGCCATTGGATGTACAATATTTTTGGTTAATCCTTGAGGCGTATAAACAAACAAATTCGATGGTTTTCCAATGTGAAACATTCCAAAAACAACATCTACTTATAAATAAATAATTAATTAAAAAAACATTTTCCAGTGGACCAATTGTGAATCTAAACCATTCTCAAATCCCCTTGAACACACACAAAAAATTTCATCAAAATCGGTCCAGTCGTTTAGGAGGAGTTCAATGACATACACACGCACACAAGAAATATATATATTAAGATGAGCAATAAAGATAAAATATACGCGCGTGACCTTTCCGAACGCAGCCATGACAAAAACAATGTTGATCTGGCCAAGAGGGGCCAAGAACCGGATGTGGAAAAAATTTAAGTTAAAGTGCAAAACTTGGCGTACTCGAATCGTATATATATACATATATGTATATAAAAGTCATAATAACACACAAAAAAAAATTTCAACGATAAATATCTAAATGTATGAATTAATAAATCACTACTAACATATTAGCATTTATGATATTTTAGAATTTTAAAAGTAACATTATATCATATTAAAAAATGTGATGTTAAATATAAAACACAAAATGTGATATCAAATATAAAACAAAGTTTTAAAAATGTTTATTTTACATACGGTATATCTATCGATCCGATTTATTCGATTACAATTGATAACGGTTCAAACATGATTAAGCTTGCCAAACTTATAGGGAACGATTGATTTGAATTATAATATTGTAATAATGAAGACGATAGCGCTAGCGATATTTGTAATGTATTAAGCCTTTTGCACAATGGAAGAAATAGCTATTGCGATAGAAATAACGCCAGTTTTAAAGAATTAATATTTATAAATAACAGTAGAAACATACAGAATCTAACATACAACAATACAAATGTATCAATGCATATCAGAAAACGAAATAAGCAATAGCGATAAAATTTCCGACGAGTTGGAATTCTGTGTCTATTGCTTATCGCTATCACTATTCCTTCGCATTGTGCAAGAGGCTTTATCTACTGAAAAAAATATCAATAACAAAAATAAAGAATATGAATTTTCACTATCAACTGACAAAAATGTTACTTTCTAAAAAAACATACTAATGATAAAGGTAAAAACGTCGAAAAATTAAAATATCAAATTAAATCTGTTGCTGTGCAACTCACACTTGGACTGGCTATATCAGATGTTTTAAAAAATGAGAAAACTGCAGTTATAATAAATGAAGATAGAGTAGTGTGCAAAAAGTTACAAGCACCAGAAGTAAAAAGTATATTAAAAGCAATGCAAAAGAAAAATTTTCGAAATTGTCGAGATCAAAAGGTGGTGCCCTTATACCAGCACCAATAGTTACATTTTACATATCATAGTTTTTTTTTAGGAGAATTACTTGCCTATTGACAGTTTTCCTCTTAATACCGGAGTCAGAGTACCTGTTGGTACAACGGGTTCGACGTAAAATATACTTCTCTTGCGCCAGAAATTGAACACCACAAACTTGTAATAAATATATACCGAACATAGAGCAACGACAAGAGTAGTTATTGCTCCCACAATTAACATTTTTGCTTTTTTTTTTGTAATAATGTACAAAACAAAAAACACTTGTACAAAAATTATTTGTAGTTTTGCAGAAAAAAATTGAAGTTTTCTCACGCGGTTCAAGCAAGATAAGACTTCTAAGGAACGTATAAAACTGAAGCCACGAATTCGGCAAAGTATCTTTTATGCGCATACAATTACGTAAGAACACAGTCGTACTAAAACTGACCATTTAGAATGTATCTTATAAAATTACTACTTATGGACGTAAATTTCTGATTAGTAAATTTCTTTCCGGCAACTTCTTTCGATCTTAAGATAATTTATGTAATGATCTGTCTTTGTTTTTTTACGATCATTTTGATATTCCCATAAACATACACTTTTTTTTATTTTAACCTTCGACTGTTTATAAAGATACTGTTTGTAGAATGGTTCGGCAAAGATCGTTGCATAAAATCCAATGAATGTTTAAGAACGGCGAAAATGAACCAATGTGCAGGGTGTATTGCAAATAAAAATAACGAAAGAATTCATAGTCTTACGACTGAGGATGACTGAATAAACAGTCGAAACGTTTCAAAAAGAAAAAATTCTTTCGTTATTTTTATTTGCAATACACCCTGCACATTGGTTCATTTTCGCCGTTCTTAAACATTCATTGGATTTTATCATATTGAATCGGAGGACACCCCTCACTTCTTTACATAATCGTTGCATAACTCTGTTTTGCGCACTATTAGCTTGACCTTACTCTGACATTGTTATTACTTAGTAGCAGAATTTTACGCAGTTTAACCGCGGATTTAGAGACTATGATAATTTTATCGCTCAATTATAAGATAAACACCGCCTTTAGGCAAAAGTATAACGGGTGCTTCATCGATGATGAGTGGCACCGGAGTTCGAGGATGAAGTTTAACCTCGAACTTTGCTAAAATATTGAAGATACCAACTTTTGTATGCATGTAGCCAAACCGAGTACCTAAAAATTTGAAAAATAAAAACTTTAATAATTTTTATTGTTTCAAATCGTGTTGTTTTAAAAGTATGAGTACATGTGTTATACATATACAACTTCATAAACTCGAAATTTACAAATAATTTAAAGAAATACTTTTGAAAAAGTTTTTAATTATAAATAATTTTTAATTATAAATGTTTAATTATAAATAATTTTTAATTATAAATGTTTAATTATAAATAATTGTTAAACAGTTTTTATTTATTTTTATTAGGCTTTACCTATACAAACTCGAGGACCTTCTCCAAAAGGTAAGTAAGCGTACGGATGTCTAGCCGCTATTTGATCCGCGCAAATCGTTCTGGATCAAACTTATCCACATCCGGATATATCGCCGGATTTTGTTGTATCCCGAGCACCATTATAGTAACTGAACTTCCTTCCGGTCTGTGAATATTCGTTGTTGGAAGGTCTAAGGATTTGGTGCAGGTGCGATTCAGTATTGGCAGAGGTGGATATTTCCTAAGAGTTTCTGCACAACGACACGGAAAAAAAAATGATGTTGAATCAACAGTATCAGTTTAATTGAAATATATCCTGTGGATGTAACATCAATATTATTGCACTATACACAGAAGATAGTTGCTTTAAGAATTCAGAGATTAAATTAATCGCATGTGCAATTGATTAAACTATTTATTTTTGTGACAACCCGTGACGTCAATTTTAATTGAAGCAACTCCATTTTTTTCTGTAGAATAAAGTAGCATAAAAACTGTAGTCTGCACTTACTAGCAAACACGTTTATGTAAAGACGTAAAATTGTATGTAACAACACCAATATAATTACCAGATACTACTTTATGAAGATACGTCATGTCGTTTACAGCGTTGTAAGTCACTCCGCCGTGTTTTTTCAAGACTTCATCAATTTTTTGGCGAAGCTTATTTTGCATATCCTGATTTAGCGCTAATTCGTACAAACAGTATGTCGCCGTAGGTGAAGAGGTTTCGAAGCCAGCAACAAAGAAACGAAAGCTTGCGCAGTCGCTTCTAACATAGGAAGTTTAACCAATATATAAGGCCTTACGAGCCATTCGCTGGATGTTTGTGCGGAAATTGTGCGTGTATATATATATATATATATGCACATGTAACGAATTCTACTTGTGAAATTCTCAAAAGTGAGTGTTTTTTTAAATTGAAATTTCAATTCTTAAATTCATACGGGATGCTGGATTTGCATCTCACATATGCAATATTGTTTAAAATTACGCTGGCTGAAAAATAAATCGTTAGCAACAGTATCAGACCATCGTTGATATATGTATATTGCGAGAGAGACTCTAAGTGCTTCGGTGGCTTAACAAGGAAGGCGATGGCACGGAACGCCGGAGATTCCAGGTTCGACTCCTGGCCGAGAAGTTTTATTCGTAATATTTTAAAATTAGTTAGGAGGGTATCCGGGGTCTTCCATTAGTGAGATGCAAATCCAGCATTCCGTATGAATTTAAGAATTGAAATTTCAATTCAAAAAAACACTCACTTGTGAGAATTTCACAAGTAGAATTTGTTACATGTGTATATATATATATATATACACGCACAATTTCCGCACAAACATCCAGCAAATGGCTCGTAAGGTCTTATATATTGGTTCAACTTTCAACGAGTACCAAAAATTGTATAGAAAGTTTATTCGTAGCCGCTTTTCAATAAAAAGAACAAAACAATTTTGTATAGCAACCAGCGCGTAAGTGCATGCTTTATATTGAATGTTATATAGTGTTAGTTGTCACCTGGCAAGTTTTTCTCTTTCTTACTTACAAGTAAAATAATCTGTTGTTTATTTTTTTTTATATTTAAGTCAATGAAATAATATAAATTAGTATGACATAATAAATAGATATGTTTAATATGGAAAATAAAATTGACTTCCACGTTACATCTCATGTTCACATAGAAAATTAATAGACGTAACTACGTAACGTAGTAAAAAAGTCTAAGATAGTACTATTACTTATATAAAAGTTTTACAATAAAAGTAAAGCATTGTAAATATAAAAGAAATAAACAATTAATTTTTACTCGGCACTGAACATTTGATTAAGAAACAAGTAAAGAAGTAAAAAAAAGAAAATAAAAATACGTACGTATCACATGTAAGACTAAATAAAAATAGTTTTGTGTAATACCGTAATGTCTAAATTAGTTGTCTAATCTTTATATCTAAGTAGTTTAATCTTTCTATTACAAAAGTATTTTTGTGCGGGTGAAGAATTGCAACAATACCTTTATCTTATATCTTGTAGCAAGCTGCAAGATAACAAGTATAAATAAAAAAATAAAAATAAGTGGAGAAAACAAGAGTATAGACAATGTGAAAGTATCTCTTTATTTATTTTTTTCATGAAATTAATTTGTTGCTGCGTAGAAATGCGAGTACCGACATTGAGAGCACTTCGTATGCTTATCGTCACGTCAATAAAAACGATAAGAGATATAATTTGATTATGCAAATATTTATCTTTATGATCAATATCGATATTCTATGATTGTATAATTGTTTATTTAATTTTTGCACGATTATCGCGACATTGTAATTACTTGTAGTTACACAATTGACGTACGTAGTTTAAATGCAACTGCAGAGAGCGCGAGTTGTTTTATAGCGGTTCAATTGTAAGAGGTACACCCCGTTTTTGTGAGTAAGTACTGTAGGAGCTTTTTTGAAGATCGGTGGCACCGGAGTTTTGGAATGAAGTTTTACTTTAAAGTTTGATAATATATTTATGATTTCAATTTTCACCATCATATAGCCGAGTCGTGTACTTGAAAAATACTAAGTAACGTTGTCTAGATTTTCTTTATTTTTACGAACAATTTCTATATTTTTTAGTGTTATGTTGTTTACATATAGTAAAAACTCTTACGGCCGATTTCTTCATATCTCTCAATAGCTATCCTCTAGATAAATTCCTCTGAGAACCAATAAGAAGAACCAATTTTGGGAGATATCTTCTAGATAAAGTTATCGAGAACTTATCTAGAAGTGAAAAAATTGGCTGTTAGTAACTAAGTTAAAAAGCATGTGACTGATTGGGTCTAGAATTCAAAATTATTTTTCTTATTTAGAGTTAACGCTTATTTAGAGTTAAAAATTTATATATATATTTTTTTTTTTGAGACTTTTAGAGATAATCGCGCAGTTAGAAATCAGAAAAATTAGTGCTGCCATACCGTAGAAGTTAAAATTGTGATTTTCAAACTTACCAGAGTTCTATTATATCATTTCACGAGATTGAAAAATATAAATAATGTAACATATTTAGATATATTTTTCGATTATGCTAATCCTTACCGATACAAGCTCGCGGTCCTTCTCCAACTGGCAAATGAGCGTATAGACGCCTGGCCGCTATTTGATCTGTGTTGAATCGTTCGGGATCAAACCGGTTTCAGATATATCTCCGGATTATAATGTATGCCAAGTACTAGTATAGTAATTAAAGTTTTTTCCGGTATGTAAATATTCGTGTTTGGAATCTTCTTGTTCAAGTAAGCGTTGCGCAATACTTTGCTTGTTAGTAAATTCTATAATTAAATTCGACAACTTATATGCTCTTATAAAAGTTATGTTAAAAAGTTAATAAAGGTGTACATTTTAGAAATAATACAAATTACTAATGGAACAAAATTTTATTTAAACCGATTATATTTGCAGTGGTCAGAGAGTAATTTTGTTTAAAGAAACATTTTATTACAACTCATCTACATTTGTATCAACTTATCTAAGCTTGTATATCAAAAGAAGCAATAAGCTTAATATAATTAGGTTTAAATTAAAAAACAAGTTCTTCAAATAATTTAATAAGTAACTGCGAATTATATAATTTTTTTCCGTAATTTGTGATGGTTTAAACAACACAAAATTATATTGTATTTTTAGATTTTATTTATAAGTTATATGAAACTCATCTCTTTATATTTGGCGGTATTTGTTGCAGAAAAAACAAGTGTCTCAAGAAATAAAGTTTTCGTCACGCGGTCAAAGCAAGATGATATCATTCTTTTCGAAGAATCGTGGAAAGTAGAAGATTAAAATTGAGGCACGATAAAGTAGCTACAGATGCTTTACAGATGCTTGTATAAAAATATTCATCAGTATTTAGTAGAAAACGTTCACAATATATTTATATATTCATATATTTTATGACATTTTATCATCTTAAATTAAAGTTTAAACAGCAAAAATAATTACGTAAGAAGTTTTTACAACCTGTTAAATATATAAATGACATTTTATTGTTCTAAGATGACGTATATTCACTTTTAATTTGAAAATAAGTAGAATCACTTTTTAATTATTGTACTTTTGTTGTTATTGCGTTATGCAAAATTTCTTTTTAATTACGTTTTCTTTGATCTTTACTTCCTTCTAATGTGATTTTAACCTTCGGCTGTTTATAACAGTGAATAGTGTAACACTGTGTGATAAATTCAAAGCTGAATAAAAGTTTTGTCATTAAACAAAGAGAAACGATAAAAATTTTCCTTCTAGTGTAAAACAATCTTTGTGAAACCAATTCAGTGAAGATAAAATAAATAATAACTTTTTAATCGATAGCACTTTTTAAGCACTTATTGAATGCCAAGAAAACTATATGAGAACGAAATACGGATATGTAACTATTGTACTAATTATTGTTTTTTTAGCGTATCTTCTAAATCACTGTGCTGTTAGTTATTTATTTCGAAAAAGTATTTTCGTGCACTAGAAAAAATACAACAATCTCTTCATTATAGCAAAGAGCAAAATGTTAAGTATACAGTAACTGGATTAAAACGGGATAAATAATAAAAACATTATTTCTCTCCTGAAACCTTGTATTGCTCCGCAAAAGTAGGAAGGCACTTAGCGACATAAATCTTATACATATAATTGGCATTAGCGTTTTTTGAATAAAAGTTTTACATAGTTTATGTAGGTTCGAAATATTTACATACAGCTGAGTGTTAGTCTGATGTAACATTGGTAGCAATGCAATTCAAAAATATTTCGTGTTTTTATCGTTATGTCAACATAACATAATCAATAACATCTATAGAATAACACTTCAATGTCTGTCTATAATATCGTTATTGCTACTATGTTGGTGGACAGCTCGTTTCTATTATAATTTTGGTTTTGTCCTGATAGCGACGTTAATAATACTTATGTAATACTTATAAAATTTAATAAATACTCATAAAATTGTTCTGCTTAGTTAGAAAACGCGATTCTAATCTAGAAATCTGTTTTTTTCGCGGTTCAATTATGAAATGTACACCGCCTATAGCAGTATGTATACCGGGGGCTTCTTCCATAATGAGTGGTACCGGAGTCCGAGGATGAAGTTTCACCTTGAACTTCAATAAGATACTTAAAATACTAACTTTTGCCCGCAGCAATCCAAACCGCTGAGCTGAAAATTTAATAAGTTACATAATAAGTTACACTATACATTTTTTTAGTTTTTTAAATTATATTTAAGAGAATGTTCGAACAAACGTATAATTTAGCGGGTTCAAAAAACACGAAACACTTTTTTGAGTGTTTGATTATTTTTTGTGTATATTAGGCCTTATCGATACAACCTCGCGGTCCTTCCCCAAATCCCAAGTAAGCGTATGGATGCCTTGTTGTTATTTGATTCGCGGTAAATCGTTCGGAATCAAACCTATCCGGATCCGGATATATTGCCGGATCTCGATGTATGCCGAGCACCGGAATGGTAATCAAAGTTCCTTTCGGTACGTGAATAGTAGTCGAAAGGTCTATGGCCTCGGTGCAAATCCGATTCACTACAGGCAGAGGCGGATACTTTCTCAGAGTTTCTGCACAACGTATTAAGCAGTATAAAATCCAGCAGTTACTGGCAAACAAGTTTATGTGAAAAAACAAAATATTTTTTCTTTTTAAAAAAGATATAAACTCACCTTTTACTACTTTCTGAATATAGATCATATCGTTCACAGCATTATAAGTCAGTTCACCGTGTTTTTCCATTATTTCATCAATTTCTTGACAAAGCTTATTCTGTATGTCCTGATGTAGCGTTAATTCGTACAAACAGAACGTCACCGTAGTTGAGGAAGTTTCGAAGCCACCTGTGAAGAAGACGTATGCTTGCGCAGCCGCTTCTAACATAGAAAATTCATTTGTAACCGATATTACTAAAACAAAACATCATTTCATATATTAAGCAGTCGTTTAGTAATTGCATATTTAATATTCACTATTAAAATATATATACGAGACACATCGGCGGCATTTTTGTTCTTGTCAGGCTCGATATAACCGTTCTCCATAAGTTGTATGAGTAGATTCATAAAATCGTGCCTGACGACATTGTGAGTTTGTCTGTATTGAACGGTATTCCGAAACATATTTATAAAGAAATTCGTGGTTCTCCGATCAGTAAGAGGAACGGAAAATAAATCAGCAATTTGAGGTGCAAACACAAAAATGGCATTCCAAATGGAACTGTACTCAAAGATTCTTTTTTCCCAATATCGAACTTCATTGTTCGGTTCTTCTACGCAGTTCACTTTGATACCAAAAACAGCTGACATAATTATGTTTGTTGTATACCTAATGTGTACAAGAAACAGTAAGATGTACAATGTTTGTAATAATGTCTTTTTTAAGATATGTTTTATTTTATATAACAATTTTAGTATTGTTTAGTTATTTAATTCACACACACATTTTTCTCAAAACTTTTCTGTTCTCTTTGAAATTTAATTTACCTAACAAGTATTTCTTTCATCTCGATGCATGTTTCGGCTTCGGCTATTTCATCGAAAGATTTTATGAATTGTTCACAGCATTCTTTCAGAAATCCAAAGATCTGCTTGAGTTTTCCCGAAGTAAATGTACGTGTCACTTTGACGGGCAAATTTCTCCATTCTTTCGCAGGCAATAAAAATAAATTACCGGATAATGGGTCAACTTTTTGTTACTGTAAAAATCTCGATCATGAAAACTACCAAATTCTTTTGTCAGCACTATTCGGACAAAATCGAGATCGGCAATCACAAGATTCGGTTTGAAAAATGAATACATTCCGAAAGCTCGATGGTCTTTATGTTTTAAGTAAGCGTCGTCAAATAGTTCGCCTGTTAATAAATCTCACATTTAAATCATACAATCTTATTGTTTCTTTAATAAAAAAAATGAACAAACTAATATAAAAGATCAGTAGTAAACTTATAGAGGGGTGTGATCGCAATATAATTCTACAAAATTTACGTTAAATATAAAGTGAAATGCAAATTGTTTTGAGTTCTGATCAGAGCCTTCATTAATCGCTTTGATAAATACTTCGAACGATTTCGAGTATTAAGTCAAAAGCTTTGCTATAATACTTTTCACCTAACATGTAACTTCGTATCGTATTTTTGTAATACAAGAAGCTTTTTATTATGAATCAATTCTCAAATTTCTTGCATTTATTGACACTGAGTATTTATCATTGCGACTAGTGAAGATTCTGGTGAAACATTTCGCATTCTATTGTATGAAAAAAATGGAGTTGCTTCAATCAAAGTCAACGTCACGGGCTGCCACAAAAATAAATAGTTCATTCACTAGCATATGCGATTAATTTAATGTCTAGATTCTAAAAGCAATTATTTGCTATGTGTAGTGAAACAATATTGATGTTGCGTCAACAAACTATATTTCAAGTAAACTGATGCTGTTGATTCAATATTATTTTTTTTTCCATGTGTTAAATTTCTCGCATTATATACGATTTAAGTTGCGACAATATGTGCCATTGTCAAATAGGAAAGTTACTCATACGTTGGCATTTCACTCGTTTTTTTTTCTTTCTTATCTCTAGTTCTTTTTTATCTCTAGCTCCAAAAATCACGTGTCTGATACGTGGTTTTCATTTTGGGCACAGAAAGCATATCACACGTTGTTGTAGCGCATGAAGTTAACGTAAATTTTGTATAAATATATCCATTAACATTTGTATATACTCGCTACTGACATTTTGTACTTGTTTGTATTTCACAAACGTTTTATACTATCATGTCGCTTTAAAATATACCTGAATATGTACAGTGGATCTAAAAAGTATTTGTACACCTAGTTTTTGTGTGATATCTTTATATAAATAAATGATGATACGTTACCAAAAATAGTATTTTTTAATAGTCGATTATGTGCTGAGATAATGTGCTGAGTAACATTTTTTAATAATGCGTTTTTAATAATGCGTCCATTTTTTAATAGTTTTGTAAACTTTCAAACAGGATAATAATAATTAATAAAGAAAATACATAAATTTGAATGCTAAAACAGTATTTGTACACGTGCGTTTTACATAGGAAATACACAATTTTTTTCAAGGTTTTAATACGAAACAAGGTTTTTATCTTGCACTCTGTATTAAATTATCTCGCGACACATCAATATGCATTCGAGCATTCGTGATTTTTTCAATAAATGCTACATTTCCAACTTCATTGTAAGACATACAAACCCAAACTGTTATGTGTATTATTATGAAATGTGGGTGTACAAACACTTTTTGGACCCACTCTACATAAGATGGAAAGTTTATATATAGATAATTAAATTTAATAATTTAAAGAGAAACATTTGATATTGCAATTTATCTAAGCTTGCATTTAACAAATAAACCATCATGGTACTTTGATATATCACAAGCTTGAAAAAAATAAATACTTTAAATAACAGTTGACTACAAACTAAGTGCATTTTGATGTCATTACAAAATTAATTTTATTTCAGTGTATATATAATACGTATTTGTCGTGTAGAAACGAGGCTATTTGCATTAATTGTACAAAAGTAGTTACTAAAAGTCTCACGCTCTTTGAAAAATTAAAAAGAAACTAATAATTTATATATACACGATACATATATTTTTTTTTAGAAGAAAACTACTTATCTAATGATATTTTTCCAGTCACTAAAGGAGTCATATTACCAGTTGGTACAACAGGTTCGATGTAAAATACACCTTTCTTGCGCCAAAAAGTGANCACCACAAACNTGTANTAAATATACACAGAACACAGAGCAACCACAATAGTAGNTATTAATCCTATAAGTAANANTTTTTGTTCTTTTTGTTTGTANNAATGTTTCAAACAAAAAACTTGTACNAAACTTATCTGTCTGTGTATGNCTTAGTAGGTTTGCAGAAAAGAATAANTCNCAAAANTAAATGTTTTGTNATATAGTCACGTTGATGTTGTCTGAAGAATACTGAACAATCGACTGAAGCTTATGTCTTACGGCCATTGCACGTGAAAAAAACCGTAACCGCAAAGTCGTAAGCAGTTCAACCAATTACAGACCAGTATTATCTTACATTAGCTAAAATACTGACCAGTGATTGATCGATTTGCTAACGACCTTACGACTACCTCTAAACTTTTGTCACGTGCAATGGCCTTTATGTTTTTTTTGTGGTTAAAGCAGTTCGCAGTTTTGACACATTTACAACATGCAGCAACAGTGGAAGTGATGCGCAATATCAGCAAGCATTTACTTGCTGCTTTGTGCGTATCCCCACCGCCCCGCTGCTGCATGCTGTAAATATATCACAAAAATATAAATATATCCTGTGTAAATATATCAAAGTGTGAACATTGGGCTTAAGAGCTTTTAAGCTCCGCCCATACGTCATTCTGCAAATAAAAGTCCGATTCCAGGGCCAGTGGCTCAACCAATCGACTGAAGCGATTGTATAAACAGTGAGGCAAGCGGAAAGATGAGGGCCGTCACACATAAAATTACGTAAGAACGGAAGACGTAGCCGTAAGAAAATTGATCAATCAGAATGTAATTTATATCTCCATCACTTTTGAACGTAAATTTCTGATTGGTAAATTTTCTTCGGCTACGTCTTATGGTTTTAAATAATTTTACGTGTGATGGCCTTTAGTTGTGTTTCGAAATTCACTGCCAGTATTAGAACCTTATATTCTCAACATAAGTTATGCACCACGTCATTGTTTTCAACATAAGTTTAAAACACTCGTATAATTGTCACACCAATAACAAATGATAAACAAAATTATATGTAAAATTATTCTGCACGTATCTATCTTCAGTCGGTAATGACGTGTTACATAACTTTTTTCTGACGTAAGGTAGTTTGCACTACGATGCACTAGTTATTATCAGATACAGACCTTGTTTATTTGATTTAAATGTTTTGGAAAACGGTTATAAAGAGTGAGAGAACTTTATCGCGGTTTAATTGTAAGATGTACACCGCCTTTGGGCGCAAATACTATAGATGCTTCGTCGATGATGAGTGGCACCGAAGTCTGTGGATGAAGTTTAAGTTTGAAGTTCAATAAGATATTTATAACACCAACTTTTGTCTGCATATAGCCGAACCGTTGACCTGAAAATTTAATAAGAAACTCTTTATTATTATCTCAAATCATTTTAACAAAATGTTATACATATATATAATTTAATAAGCTCGTAAAATACAATTATTATAAAAACAAATTGAAAAGTATTTAATTATTTTTTGAGATTGTTGAACCTTACCGATACACACTCGTGGCCCTTCTCCAAATGGCAAATAAGAGTACGGATGTCTAGCCGCTATTTGATCCGTGTTGAATCGCTCGGGATCAAACATGTCCGGATTTGGATATATCGCCGGATCTCTCTGTATTCCGAGCACCGGTATAGTAATTAAAGTTCCTTTCGGTACGTGAATAGTACTCGAAAGATCTATGGTCTCGGTGCAGATGCGATTCAGAATCGACACTGGTGGATATTTCCTCAGAGTTTCTGCATCATTTATAAAAGAGTATACAACTTGTTGTCTGCGATGCTTGTCAAACGTTTAATTAAAACCACAACCTTGTATTTTCACAAACAAACGTATACCATTACCATTTATTACTTTGTGAAGATAGGTCATATCGTTTACAGCATCGTAAGTCATTTCGCCGTGTTTTCTCAGGACTTCATCAATTTCTTGACGAAGCTTGTTTTGTACGTCTTGATTTATTGCTAATTCGTATAAACAAAACGTCGCAGTGGTTGAGGCAGTTTCAAAGCCGCCTATGAAGAAGGCGTATGCTTGCGCAGCAGCTTCCAGGATAGACATCTTGCTCGTATTCGCTATAAATAAAACATCTCAATATTTTATTAGTTGCATAATTGTATTTCTTATATAGTATTGAACATTGTAGCATATTTACAAGAAACATCGGCGGTGTCTCCTTTGTCATGCGCCACGTAGCCTTTCTCCATAGTTTGTATAAGTAGATTCATAAAATCATGTCTGACAACATTGTGAGTTTGTCTGTGTTGCACGGTATCCCGAAACACTTTTATAAAAAACTTTGAAATATTCCGACCAACGAGAGGAATAGCAAAAAACTCGGCAATTTGAGGTACAAACGCAAAAAGTGCGTACCAAAACATATGATATTGAAATAGTTTTTTCCCTTGGTAAAGAATTTCGCTGTCCGGCGTTTTCATACAGTTGGACTTGATTCCAAAAGCTGCGGACATGATGACGTCTATAGTATATCTGTTGAGTACAAAATATCCATATAGAACATGTACATTGTTTATATAATATATTCAACAATTGGAAGATAATATGTATATAGTATTTATATAACATTTCTTCAGCGTTTTCTACGTAATTAGTGAAAAATGTATTAAAAACTTTTTTTTCTTCCTTCTTCTTTTAAGAATGAGTATACCTTGCGAATATTTCCTTTATTTCGATGCATGATTCCGTTTTGGCTACTTCTTCTAAAGATGTCGCGAGTTCTTCGCCGCAATCTTTCAGAACTTCAAACATTTGCTTGAGTTTTCCTGAAGTAAATGTAGATGTCAGCTTGACGCGTAAATTTCTCCATTTTCTTCCAGGCAATAAAAATAAGTTGCCGGATAACGGATCTACTTTTTCGTTGCAGTAGTATCCACGATCATGGAAACTAGCAAATTCTTTGGTCAGCACTATGCGGACAAGATCGAGATCGGCAATCACAAGGTTCGGCTTGAAAAATGTGTACGTTCCGATTGCACGATGGCCCTTATATTTCAAATAAATGTTGCGAAGTAATTCACCTGTATTAAATTAAATATGTTTGAAATTGTACGTTCTTTTGAACTTTAACTGAAAAGAAACATTGAGAAGAAATAATAGTTTTTAAACCGAAAAAAATCTAGTTTCTTGTAAATATATTTGCAGTTAGTAAAGAAAAAAGCAGTTATTAAAGAAAGAATCTACTTTAAATAAATAATGTGTTCATGCAACTCTCATAAGATTGTTAACACGTCTTTTGCAGAATAGATTTTATAGATAAATTTGTAGTAGTTATATATCACTTCTTTCGTAGAATAGATTTTGTAATATGTTACTTTTGTAATATGTTATAAGTATAAAACAAACAAAACTTTACTTGGTGCTACTTTTTGATATCACTACTTTTATCAAGCTGGTTTTTAGAGAAAGAATGTTTTGTAGTAAGATTTTTCATATGTATTTTGTATATATTTTGTATATATATTATTCTATACAAAATATTACTACAACACATTTTTTCTCTAAAAACCTACGTGACAAATGTGGCGATATCAAAAAGTAGCACTAAGTAAACTTATGTTAGTTTTATAATTATAACATACTACAAAAATATCTACAAAATCTATTCTACAAAAGAAGTGATGTATAACTACTACAAATTTATCTACAAAAAAATCTATTTTTTTTAAACCAGGTTTTATATAGAGAAAGAACTTTTTGTATTTTGTAAAAACAGTTTAGAGGAAAAAGGTTTTGTAATACAAAAGAATGTTTTGTAGTATATAATGGTGTAGGACAGATTTTAGAGGAAAAGAATTGTTTGTAGTTTTATATCAATTTTAAAATTTATTAATTTAAATACAATACGTTTTGTGCGTGTACTTGGCGCCTGTTCTTATCTTGTTTTTGAAAAAATAAGTTTTTTGAGATATTACATATTTTATAGTATTATTTAATTTTGTAAAACAAGTCTTATAAAAAAAAAGTTTTTATAGTATGTAATCAATTTTGTATTTTATAAAGTTAAAGTATATAGTTTATTAGTTTTTTATTTATTAATTTTTAATTTTTTATTGTATAAAGCTAAAGTATATAATGTGTAACAGGAATCAAATAAGGCCGATACGAGCCATTCGCAGGATGTTTGTGCGGAAACTATGCGTGTACATATATATATATATATATATTTATATATAAATGTAACGAATTTTACTTGTAAATTTTTACAAGTATTTTTTGAATTGAACTCTCAATTCTTAAAATCATACGGGGTGCTAGATTTGCATCTCACATATGCAAAACTTCGGATACCCTCCTAACTAATTTTTAAAATATTGCGAAAAAAACTCCTCGGCCAGGAGACGAACCTGGAATCTCCGGCTTTCCGTGCCATCGCCTTCCCTATATAATGTGTAGTTATTTTATGTCTAATTTCAAAACAGTTGATTAAAAAAGAAGTATATCGGAAATGTTGCGGGTGCGAAGAAAGTTTTTAACCCGTTTTTTTATTTAATTTTTTGTCTTAAATTTGAAGCATATAGGTTGTAGTTATTTTTTACCAATTTTAACAACAGTTTATTAAATTTATATATACCCTAAAAATTATTAATTATTTAATTGTGAATATATGTATTTGTCAAGAGGCGTGATTAGTCCGTGATAAGAAAAAAAGGTGGAAGCGCACAGTCAAATGTTGATTTAACATTCTGGCACAAAGATATTTGCAGGAATTTTAGTTGTTGACACCTTTTTGCAACGGCACTCGCAACAGTGAGCGCATTGCGTTTAGAAATGATGCCAGTTTGTGGAAGCTAGCAGCATGCAGCAGCAAGTAGAGAGGATATAAGATATAATATCCCAAAAAAAATAGAAACATATGATTATGTAAGATTATATATAAATAATTAAATTGCGTCAAATTTTGGATTTGATTTTACATGATCACATGAAATCACCTCTGACTGTATAAACTCTTATATGATCATATAAAACCATATCCGACCCATATATAATCCTACTTAATCCTACATGGTTTTCCATTTTTTTTCGGGATAAACTACGCACAAGAAACAGACTAACGGCTAAGTTTCTCGCGGCTGTTAGTGGTAGTTGTAGCTATACTTACAGGGAAAGAGAAAAAGCGGTTATACAGGGTGTCCCAGAATTGCCGTACAATCTCTCGTAGTCAGATAGAAGGAATAAAACCGAGTCAAAAAGTCCTGAACCATTTTTTTCTATTACTTATAATAAAAGAGTAATTATTGAGTAACTCAAGGCAATTAGCGCCGACCGTTAGGCAGACGCACGTCACTGAGCCGCGCGCCTGGTGTGTGGGAGCACTTCGCGCGACTTACGAACGAGCGCCTGGCTAAAGGTCGACGCTGATTTATTCAATAAGTACTTTTTTATTATAAGTAATAGAAAAAAATAGATCAGGACTTTTTGACTCAGTTTTTTTCCTTCTATCTGTCTACGAGAGATTGTACGGTAATTCTGGGACACCCTGCGTATGTCCGTCTTCTACTGCTCGAAGAAGCGCCGAGCGTACACGTACACGGCTGTTCGTCTGTGTGCGTATTCTCTCTACTTGCTGCTGCATGCTAAAAAGGCCAACACTGATGCGTCATGTTCGGAAACACCATTTGTGTACACACGAGCATTCTTTGATTTATATCTAATGAGCAATAAAGATAAAATATACGCGCGTGACCTTTCCGAACGCAGCCATGACAAAAACAATGTTGATCTGGCCAAGAGCGGCCAAGAACCGGATGTGGAAAAAATTAATCCTCAAAACCGGTTCCTCGCTTTCAGCCAAACAACATTGGATGTTTTCTAGCGAAAAAACACAGACACAAAGTCAAGCACAAAAAACCTGTGTGAAACTGCTTAGAACATCATTTAAAATAGTTCCCGTACGGCAGTTATATTCAAAAGTAAAATCTACCGTCAATACAAAAAGTAGGATCACAGCGCATAATTTTCATGAGAGATTATACTCTCACACATTAACTCTCTAAAAAAAGTATTTACAAAAGAAAAGAACATGCGCCAAATACATAAAACCTATCCAAATATACAAATTATCTATTACAAAAATCTCTTTTTTCTGTATATATAACAAACACAAACAATCAATGCAGTTAGCCAAGTATTGGAGCCAAGACTGTAGACCCCATATATGTATAAAACGGCTTAAAACAAAAATAAGGTACAAAACTTGGCGTACTCAAATCGTATATATATACATATATGTATATACAAGTCATACTAACACACGAAAAAGAATTTCAACGATAAATATCTAAATGAATGAATTAATAAATCACAACTAACATATTAGCATTTATAATATTTTAGAAGTTAAAAAAGTAACATTCATATCATATTAAAAAATGTGATGTTAAATATAAAACACAAAATGTGATATCAAATATAAAACAAAGTTTTAAAAATGTTTATTTTACATACGGTATATCTATCAATCCGATTTATTTGATTACAATTGATGACGGTTCAAACATGATTAGGCTTGTCAAACTTATAGGGAACGATTAATTCAAATTATAATATTGTAATACTGAAGACGATAGCGATAGCGATATTTGTAATGTATTATCTACTGAAAAAGATATCAAGAACTGTTTCGATATCATGTATATAAAATTGTAACAGTAGCATTTAACTGAAAGAGAAATCGAAAGCCGTGTTCGCATAGAGCACGATCTATTGGAAGACACTGTAACATGTTTTGTGCAGCTGCATAGTTGCAAACCTTTTTCCTTTTTTTTAATATATGTATTCGGCCGTCTTGCTGCCTGGTTTCACAACACATGTCGATCGCGCGAGTTTGAGCAGAACGAAGGCGACAAGATCACGTATTAAAAAAATAGAAAACAACAAGGGAAAACAATTAATATATATTTCTTATACAAGTTTAGTATCGAAATACAGAGTATATAAGTATATGATCGTTGCTGCGTGTCATAAAATGAGACTGCATTTTGTAAACTAACGCATTATTTTTCTTTATTACCAACATTTGTTTAAGAACAAAAGCGATGCAGCAAGATGCGTATCCAAAATTTATTAATTGAAAAGTGTGTTCAAATAGTCAAGAGATTTAAGAGATTTATTTATGTTTATCTGAATATCACTTGCGTGAATATGGCAATACGCTTATATATTTATGAATTGTTATATATTTAATATATTTGTTAATTTTATATAATTTTCTTATGTTTTTATATTTATTCTGTATATACTTGCACTGTTATTTACATTGTTATTTAATTTGGTTTTCTTGATGTTAGAAAGCGCAGTATTCGTTGCGAAAGTGCTTCGAGATAAATTTTTTGTTGGTTTATAAGTTTTAATAAATGCAAAAAAATTAATTACATTTTATGAGTTTTGTGTTTATTTCGCATTCTTAATATTCGGTAGTATTTAATATGAAATAGTTAAAAGAAAGAAATTTAAACTAATACTTCTTGTCTATATAATATTTACTACATGAATAGTTTATTTAGAGTTGTTTGTTGTAATCATTATCTTTTAATTTCAATATATTTGAGTAATGAATTATTTTGTATAACGATACAACTGAATTTGATTATATTCCTTTTTC